TCCTTCCCCTGTTGATTTTAATCAGGTCAGAAAAATCTTACATTATGATAATTACATCACAAAACAGTTTATAGACATTTCCGTCACATGACATTTTAATTGCTGTTACCTCTTTAAACAACTAAGCCAAGGCAGAGCTTGTCAGCACCAAGAGAAAAGAAAATCAAGTGTGCCTCTGAAGTCTGAATTTCTTCTTAAGCAAAATAAGCAGACATCCAGACCACTAAATGAGGAAATTCCGCATGTATCTTCTACTTCAATTTTGAATGGCTCTTCTGACATCTCTTCCAGCTAAGAAGATTAAAAAAGACCAAATCATTTGAGATACTGCATTGCTTCTTGACATCAATCTGGTGAAAGATTTAACTGAAAAGAGCCTTTATTTTTGTACTTTGTATGTTATAGGATGGAATTCTGTCAAGTTGTAATCTCTTTTGAACAATTATAGAAATCGCTGCATTTCCCTTTACAGGCTGTTCTGCCTATACAGAGAGAGCACACCTATAAAAATGCAGCAGCCTCTGTACAATAAAAGGTATGGCTCAGGATTTCCCTCTGGGTCCTTGTGGCATATGCACAGGCATGTGAACTGTCAGTGATGCTTCTCACGTAATCAGTGCAAATACAGAGCTTCCAAGAGGAGATGACGTCACACATTTTATAGTACAGGCTCTGCATGAAACAATTACAGTCCCCAGCAGCAGCTGTGGATATGCCATAGGTAAAGTGAACAGTTGTGATCTCCTTCTCTCTTCAATGGGATGGAGAAAACACACAAAGACTGGATTTATGTCATCGCAATTGAGGGAAGGATTCTGCCCCATACAAAACACATGCCCCCAGACACTGTTTGTCTTAAGCAGCAGGTCAAAAACCTGGCTCTACTGAAGTGAACAGCATCAGGGCAATTAGTCTCAGATTTGGTCATCTTCACATCAGCACACAAAGACCACTGAAAGTTCCAAGTTCTTACAAGTGGCTTGGCATTTTATCTCAGTAGCTGAGACCACTAAACCTTGCCTGCACTGATTTCTCCACATGTGACACTAGATATCTATATAGCTAACGAATACAATAGATGCATCTGACTTAAAAACAGATGAAGCATTTACGCTTTAATTGGAATTTGTACAATTTAGATCTAAATTTGCACATCTTTCCTATATGGTTTTCCATATGTCTTCATTGTAACAGTTTCCCAATTTAAGGCAATGTGAGAAGACAGAAGCTCTTTTCTGCAAGACCGTGAACACACACACACACCCTACCCCAAAACCAGCACTAACATCTGCAGCAATCACAATATGGTAACTGGCTACACACAGGAGATTAAAAATATACAGATCAATAATGTTCTGCTACGATTTTGAAACAGAAACCTCATGCAGTTTTTTCCAAACACAGTCCCTCTAGTAGCTTTTGTAATGACATTGGAGAGGGAGACATTGCATTACACTCTTCAAGCCATTCTGATAGTCCCACACATAATTTCCCCCCTGCCTCCCCCCAGTTTTCAGCAAAAGTGTCATTTTTGTGCTGTTTGTGTAAGTGGACAGAATTTCAAGCATCTGCTCCCAAATGATTATAAATCAAGGAACCTTCATGCTCCATTAGCTTGAGAAGATAGTGTTATTAATGACTGCTATTCAAGGAAGTTCACAGTGAGTGTCCAAGTGAAGACACCTCTGATGTAAGGCTTTGTTTTGTTTCCAAAAACAGCTGCGTGGGCAAATCTTCACTCTTGCTGTTTAACATATTTCTGAGGCTACCACTTCTAAGAAATATCAATTATTTTTGTTAGCTTAGCAGCTATATCAGTTTCCTGTGGAAAAAGAAACAACACTGACATTCCACAGCAATAGTCATGAAAAGTCATTTAGCTTAACAAATGCTGGGGTCTATGAAGATGCAACACTGCTCTCACTCTGCTATTCTTTATCCGGTTCCAGAAGTCTGAAAAAGCTGGTTGAACTCTAAAGCACAAAAAGTGAAAATTTGAGTATTAGGTTGTATTACATGGATTTGAAACAACGTAAGAAATGACTGGGTATAGCCTGGCAGAGCTGATTTGCTCCAAAGGTTAATACACCATGATTTCCTACACGATCCTAACCAGCAGCCCTTTATTTCCATAGAAGTAGGACCAACTTTGCAAAGAAAAGGCGAGTCAGAGGTCCTATTAGGTGAGTTTTCTGCCTGTTAGTTACTTGCCTAGGTGCACAATGGATGTGAGGCATGAATAGCACATAATTCCGAAATTCAAGATAAGACATCTGACTCATCACTCCACTGCACCAGTTTTATGCCTACGGGGCTCCATGTTCTTCCATGGTGACTCAGACCCAAGGCTCCCCTCTCTCCAGGAAAAACATGACAAGTCATGCAGTACATGTCAGATCTACCCATCAACTATAATCCCCATTTGCACTGCAAAACTAATTGGAATGTAACATTCCATACCACTTGCATCTTGCTGTTAAGCCTAGAGATAGGAATATATATAACTAATGTAAAGAGCAGCAGTTTAAAATATAGTAATTGGAATTAACCCTAGTACACCTGGCAGAACACTCAAGGAACCCTGTTTGAGAAAGCAGTCCTTTCCAAATGTTAATAGTGTCAACATGGGCATGCTAAGATTAACAACATGGAATTAAGAAGGAGATTAGCTACTGGAACAAAAAGTTTCTCTGAAAAAGTTCTCATTGCAAGACTGCTGCTTTCACTTTTCTAACCCGAGGCTGCTGAAACACAAGAAACTTTGAACAACTCTAAGGTAGGCATTGACTGTTTCTTCCAAAAGGACACGCAGTGTTTACGACGGCTATTTTTGGCTTTCAACTATAGAAATATAAAACACCATGAGGCCCATTTTCTTCTCACAGCTTCATGTCTGTATATATTCATTGATTTCAGTGCAATTATATCTGATTATTTGCCTGGAATGGAAGTTATATCAGTGCTGACCCTTATAGGCAATTCTGAATGGATTTATACTGGGCAAAATGTGTAAGAGGAGACAATCTACAGTCTGACAGCATAGAACTGTGGAAAACAAGGAAATAATTAATAAAGGTATAAACCTTCAAAAGCCAAACAAAACAATTCATCCTTCACCTTGCTCTAAACGTTAAGGGATTGGTATCCAGCAGTTTACCATAATGTAACTTGTGCTTTTTGTTTGTTTTTCAGTCACAGAATCAGTGGGTTACTGTAGAACACAGAGATCACTGCCACAGGTTTCTGTCCAGGACTGGGTGCTGAGCTACTCTGCAGAGAGAGTTGAATCTATGAGGGTTGATCCTACACAGTTCAGCCATGCTGGGCACTGGTGCACACAACCAGTAACACCTTAAAAACGGCTTGTGGAAATGGTTATACACCACTGGGGAGCCACACATACTGAGCATTTTATGCACAAACCATCCACTTGCTTGTGCTGGCAGAGGGCATACGTATGTAATTCTGTATTTACTACCACCACTGCAAGATGATAGCATCTCATTCTGACTACACTTACATCCCACTGAGAGGTCAAGGCAGGAGATGGTATTATATGTGTGCTTTTCTACAGGAAGGCAAGATTTATTCTGAGGCGTTCAGTTCTTTGAGTTTACCTCTGTCTTATGAAAAAGAAAAAACCAAATCCACAAAAACCCACAAAACTGTCCACTGCAATGAATACAGACTTTGAATAAATGCAGGACCTTGACTGCAACAGGAAGGTGAAACCCAAAAATGTGTCAGTAGGATCATTCTCTTTTGAGGAGCACTATAAAGACATGAACTTAAAATAGACATAGCATTGGCTCTTATCTCATGCTCACTTACTCTCTGACAACCAGAAACCAGGGTGACTTTAAAACCTAGCACTTACTACTCTTTGGTTGCCATAATTTTATTCGTCTGGTCATGTGGCAGTCACACATGTGAGACACAACCAGGTATCCAGGTAAAAGTTATGGAAACAGCTCCATAGCTAATGACACTGTTAAACCACAGAATCCATGCCTTTATCCCCATCATTAAAATACTTCTACATCCAAAATACAAGGGGAGAAATAGAGGCACAGCATTCAGAACTGAACAGCAAGTTACAAAACTTCAAACACTACACAATATATTGAAAGCCTACTAGCACCAAATTTGTGATGCTGCTTATGTACTTGAACCTAAGGTGAAGCTCTCTTTTTAACATCTGGGTCACCAGTAACTACCAAGGATTACCAGACCACACTGCTTCCCACCCATGTTGAAAGTACTACCGAAGTACTACCTAAAGCATCACCCATGCTGGGAAGTGAATCCGGTGATTGAGTACCCGATTCGGCGGTCGCCAGCAGCATTTCACTTTGGGTGGTAGCTGGTTTCTAGTATGGGAGTGTGGAACAAGCCAGTTTGGCTGCAACGATCTAGGTTTTCACCGCCCAGCACCAAAGTTTGCCAGGGAGCCGGCGAACGCACAGGTAAAGGCGGTCGCTGCCGCGCTGCGGGGCGCCATCCTTTCGTCACTTTTACCTCAGCCGGCTGCAAGAGGCGACAGCGGGCGAGCAGGGACAGCCCACCGGGTCCCCAGGTGGTCTCCGGGGAGCCCGGGACCCGCTGCACGGAGCGGCTGGGTGGGCGACAGGGAGCGAGTGCCGTGCCGCATGCCTGTGCACACTAGCACGCCGGGAGCGCCCCAGCGGCGCCTGGGGACCGGCGGGAGCGCCGTGCGACCCCACGCGGGGCGGCCCCGGGAGGGTGGGGGACAGGGGAGCTGCCCCCCGCCCGGCCCACCCTCCGGAGGCCGCCCCGCACCCCCTGACCGCGGTGCCGACGGGGAACCCCCGGCGCCCCCCGCCCCGCACAGGCACACGGCAACAGGCGGCGGCGGCGCCCCCCGCCCGGCACCTCGCACCCGCTGCCCCGCTCGGCATCGCTACCTCGGCAAGGCTCCGTGCGCTCCCGCCGCCGCCTGCTCCCGCCGCCGCCGCCGGGGCGGATCAGCTGATATTTACCTGTGAGGTAATGCACGCTCCGTAAGGTCACCGTGCACCCGCCGCCGGCACACGGTGCCAGGCAGGAGGAGGGACGCGCCGGGAGGAGCGGGAGTTGCTCCTGCTCCGCCGCCGCCGCCGCGCACGGCGCCGGAGCGGGGCGGCCGCGCCGCGCAGAGGCAGAGGCGGCCGCTGCCGCTGCAGCTCCTGGCACATGCTGCAGGTGTCAGCGCAGGAGCTGCCCCGCCGCCCGCCCGCCGCGCCCGCCCCGCCGCGATGCGCAGCCGCGCCCGCCGCACCGCGCCGGCGCCGCGATGGTGCGCCGGCGCCCTTCGCCGCCTGAAGCCGCCGCGAAGCCGCTGCCCGGCCCCGGCGCTCCCCTCAGGAGACGCTCCCCCGCCAGCACCGGCGGAGAGGGGGCGGTGGGAGGGATGACGTAGTGGGGCGTGGGGCAGGGGCGAGGCCGGGCGGCGGGGCCGGGAGCCCCCTCCGGACCCCCTGAGAGCGCGGCTCCGCCAAGGGGGTGCGGGCGGGACCCCCCCATCCCTGTCGGAGCGGCGGGCGGGCCGGGGGAGCGGCGGGGCGAGCGGGGGCAGAGGGATGATGTCATCCCCTTTTCCAGGGGAGGGCGGGGCCTGTCCGCGGGAGGAGGTGGGCGCGACGCTGCGGCTCCCTCAGGAGCGGGCGAGGAGGGGGATGCGCGCCGTGCCGGCCCCTCACGGCGCCGAACCCGCGCGTCCCAACCAGCGCTGCCCCGGGCCCGGCCGGGCTGGACTGGGTGGGGGGTGATCGCTCCGTGCCGCAGCAGCGGGTCGTGGAGCAGGCACCGGGGAAGGCACCCCGCCCCGGGCGGGAGTCCCCGCTGTGGGTCCCAACCCCGGCCAGGAGTCCCCGTTGTGGGTCCCAACCCCCGGGCAGGGGTCCTCGGGAGTCCCCGTTGTGGGTCCCAACCCCGGGCAGGGGTCCCGGGAGTCCCCGCTGTGGGTCCCAACCCCGGCCGGGAGTCCCCGCTGTGGGTCCCAGCCCCGGGCCTGAGTCCCCGCTGTGGGTCCCAGCCCCGGCCGGGAGTCCCCGCTGTGGGTCCCAGCCCCGGTCCAGGGTCCCCTGTAACCCCCGCCAGCCCCACCGGCGCTCCCGCTGCAGGGCGCAGAGCGGAGCGGAACTTGGGCAGCGGCACGGCCGGCCGGGACTATCGGGGGAAGAGCCCTTGGTGCAGCCCTGCCCCGGGAGCCGCCGTGTCCTGCCGGGGCCGGTGCCGGTGGCGCGGCTCGCTGCTGACAGCCGAGGTTGGCGTGTGGGTGGGTGTGCGGGAGCTTCCGAGGGAGCCCGGCTGCGGGGAGTGACGAGCAGCAAAGGCTTCTGCTCATCCTGCGGTTCTCTAAATGTGCGCAGGAGGTTTGCTGGAGAAATGGTCTCCAGCGCTCGGTTTCTGTGACCCACTTATCATCCCCTAACTGGTCAGATAAACCTTAGGGATTAACCATGTAGGCTTAACACACAGGTACCTGAGTGGAAAATTCAGCGCCTTTCAGAGTAGCAGCCTCAGGTTTCCTTTCATCTTCAACCATCAGCACCTTTAAATAAGACACAACTATCTGCATTAGAAATGCAATGCATAGTCTTTAAAGCAGCAACATTTGGAAGTTGGGTGGGGTTTTTCATCTTCAGTTTTCACAGATTTTTCCCATCCACTTAACAAAAAGAACAATATGTATAACTCTTTGGCTGCATACTTAAAATCTTGAGCTGGGATAATGTTTAAGGGTCTAAATGCTCCTAATCACATGGTGCCAGGAAGGCTGAAGGCTTTTGGGATACTTCTACATCAGTCCTGTATGATGATGCTTTGTCCAATCTGAAAGCAACATGAAGAGACTGCATTTCTGACTAGGAAAAAAAAAAACCAAGCAAACATGAAAATGAAAAGGGGAAGGTTTGATCATACTGGAGGCTCAAGCATGCCTGGTTAGATAGCTAGGGCATTACACTACCCTCCTTCATGCAAACATTAAGCATAGTAATCCTCATTTTAAAAGTCTTAAGAGAAAGGCACAGGCAATGCTGGACTCTCACTCCGATAGCACTTTCTGGGTACTGGCCTCCTCACACTGCTGGAGCAGTGGGAAGGAGAGGTGAGAAAAGGATGGACATGTGATTCAGGCAGAGTTGGTACCACAGAGAGTGGCCTGCTGGTATCCTCTGGCTTGGTGAGACTCACTGGGAACGTGGGAGGCATGGAGTGCATAAGAGGTGACACAACAGGTGACATAAGGTATGAGGTCATGGAGGACACTGAGGTTGGAATGGGAGCTCGGAATGAGATGTGGTGGGTGAGGGAAAGGCAGCAGGGAAGTCTTTGTGTCTGCAGATTGTATCAGTTATGGAAGCTGATTATTATTATCACAATATAACAGAAAAACACAGAGGAAGGGCAGCACCACAGAGGATGAAATGAATGAGCCTGCAATCAGGGATTTTGTCCCTGTAATGATGAGGTAAGGGAAGACTTGTGTTCCAGCAGGGACATTTAAGTGTCAATAACCTTACTGAAAAGGAAGAGTGACATGTAAAACAGATCAGACTGCAGGAGAACCTGTCCTTAAAATCTCTGTTTACAGCTCACAGGAGAATATACCAGGAGACCTTGATGCTCAGTAGGGAGTCCAGTGAAGACATTAACAGGACTGAGGAGAGCTCTCTAGGCTGCTGACTGGGAGAGCTGTTATAAATTACAGCTTTGAGGCTTTGTCAGGGAGTGTTGCTTCATTTCTTGAAATTATGGGCTAAATTAATCACTGTTTTAACATAGTGCTAAATTATTTGCACTTATAGGCAGTTTCTCCACAATAAATCTTAATCTTTCATTCTCTGGAACATGCCCTTCCAAGGCTGAGTGAGCAATGGACTCCCCACTCCACGGGTCACAGACCTGACTGGGATGGACTGTGCATGGCAGGAGAACAAATGTTTTCAAGGGGGATTGAGACTACGGTTAGCAAGCTGCTTTTCAGCAAACTGTCGTCACATGGAAGGCAGAATTCCCATAGAAAAATGCTTTGATTCCTGTCAAAGCACCACAGGAACGAGACTTAAGGAGTTGATGATGCTCTAAGTGTGGTTAGCAGTTTTGAGACAGACAAGTGTGCCTGCCTGACAGAACTACTACTACATCAGGAAGGTTGTTTTGTTTAGGGTACATGGTAAATCAGCATATTCTAAGTGAAGCTTTCCTTGAATGTCCAGTTTGCAGGAGCAAAAGGTGTTTCCGGGTTTGCTTGAAATTGATGAAAACTAAATGAAAATCAAACCAAAAGGGGAAGTTTCTGCAAAGTGAAAATCCTGCCTTTTGGACAGTTTCATGGACACACTGATGGTACAAATTGAAATGCAGGGTTGTTAAGGAGCAGTCTGAGTGCTTCCTGCAACTGTGAGATGTATTTCAGTCCTCTGTCCCCTGCAGAGAGCCTGTGTCTACGAGAGCAGGCTGCTTTCTGCAAACACCTAAAAACTCTGGTCCCCACCCTACATCCCCCTGCCCCTCATTAATTTTGTACCTGCAAAGCAGCACACTCCATGTACCCAGCCTTTATAAATACCCTGGGGAGCCATTTCTCCAGGAAACTCTTCTTTATGCTCTTTTGTATAGATGCATTTGGATTATCTCACAAACCACTCTCATGTTTATTAGCTTCACCTGGGCTTGTCATCAACACTAGTCAAGTACAAACATTAATCAAATTAGAGTGTCAATCCAGCCAGGCATAAGGTCAAGCTTCTAATTACAAGGTTGGAAAATGGGAATGACTGGAAGTAATTTAAACTTAAAATGTAATTCTAGGGCAAATTTAACAACAGGTTCTTTTCTAGTTTCCCTACTATCTTTCACCTTGAGTTTTTAAGATGTCTCATCCATAAAAAACCCAGAAGTTTAATTTGCACCTCTACTGTGTGGTTTGTCTTGCTCCCTTCCAGCACAAGGCAAGTGTCTCAGGTATGGCTAGCTGTCGTTCTGTTTGAAGTTCAAAATAGTTCCTGCATTCCTAAACCTTTTTTCTGTCACAGCTTCTAAACAAGGTCTCCTATCACACACTGACCCACCCTTCTTTCCAGCCACCAATTCATGAAGGAGTTTCCAAGGCTTTTACTGTCTTTCCTACAATTTGCATTTAGTAACATTAAAAAACCATGAGATCTCTAACAGTTCTCTCAGGTTTTCCATGCTCAGTGATTTCCTCTTGGATAACAGAAATGGCTCTCTAACAACAAAGATGACAGACATGATAATGACATATTTTGACCAAGCAGCACTCCCACCATTCAGTGCCAGATTCTGGGGTTCCCTAATTTCACATCCCCCCACTGCTGAGGAATGAGAGATCACACCTCCTACATCCAAGAGTGTGATGGGAGCAGGAATCACACTAGACAGTGCTGATCTTAATGTCAGTGTTAACAAATCTAATCTGTCCTCAGTTCATCTATCACTGTGCCAACTAGGCATCATTTTGTATGATTAAGTACCTGTGAAATCAAATAGTAAACTGAATTTGTTCCATTGGGTGCATTATCTGAACTGGACCTTTGGATACATCATCATTAGTATGATCTTTGACTCGTTGGAAATGCCAGAATACAGATAATAATGGTAAAAATACTGACACTGTGCATTAGTGGCTTCCTTGACTCATTACAGCCAGCGAATAAAGTCCATTCTTCACTCTGGAAAAATGCAGTGCTTAACACTGAGATGTCACAAGGAGGAAGTAGGATTTCTGCTACATAGAAATTAAAGATTTTAGCAGGCAGAAAAAAAACCCCACTTTCTGCACTGTAATTTTTTTCATTAATAATTTTATTTATGCACTCCTTGGAAGAAGGAAACTGTGTTGACTGTTTAGCACCAGATTATGGGTTAAATTGGGCTTTCTTAATGACCTGGAAGTTAGAATTGTGATTAAGTCTGTTACTAAATTAGTAGCTTTGTTGTAGTTGCGTGAGTTTTATTCAGAATGTGATGGCAGTTCCAGAGACATCAGACTGTATTACAAGTATTTTGCCACAGACCTTTATTTGCTGGCAAAATTAGGAGACTGTTCACATCTTCCACTTCTAAAGCACCTTCTGAAAGTATGACTTTACTCTAAGAGGAGTTCAGAACGT